AATGCTTTGACCGGGGGTGCTTCCATGATGTCTTGAACTTGTTTTTCTGGCGGAAGAGCGTGTTGGTGATGACAAGGTTGTGCTCCGCACATTTGGTGAGAAGCAGGATGCCATTTGAGTTGCTGTTTCCAACCCCGTCTTTTCCGATGGTTCCTGGCCACAGGTCGAAGTCTCGCCCAACTCTTGCATTGAAGTCCCCCAGGAGGATGATTTTGTCCTCCTTAGGTATCCCCGATAGGACGTTGTCCAGCTGACAGTAGAATTTCTCCTTGATGTCTTCGTCAGCATCTAGTGTTGGTGCATAGGCACTTATGATGGTTGCCCGTTGGTTTTTGGCAAGATCGATTCGGAGGGTTGAGAGTCGTTCGTTGATGCCAGTGGGTGCTTCGGACAGATGTTTCACCAGATCATTCCTGATGGCAAAGCCAACTCCGTGCATTCTTTGGTCTTTTTCGGGCAGTCCCTTCCAGAAGAAGGTGTAGCCTCCTTTTTCTTCCTTCAGCTGTCCCTCTCCTGCTCTCTGGGTCTCCTGAAGGGCTGCTATGTCGATGTTGAAGCATCCCAGCTCCCTTGCAATGATGGCAGTTCTGCGTTCGGGGCGTTCACTGCCGCTGTTGTCCATCAGAGTCCGTACGTTCCACGTACCGAAGTTCATTTTCCTTTTTTGGCCGCAGGGTGGTGACCCCACTGGACGCGGCAGTCCAGACAGGGATAAGTGAGGCAGACTATGTTTAGGGCACCTTTTCTAGCCCCCTCCCCATGTGGGGTGAGCAGAGTGGGTCCTCAATAGGGCTGCTCAGTCGTGGATACAGCTGCCGAACTACTCAACTGCCTCGGACCTTGAGGTAGAACGACTGAGTCCGTACCCACAGCCCATGTGCCAGTCTGTGACTAGGGGCTTCCAGATTTCACAGTCCTGCCCCCGTCGCCACTCGCTGATCGCCATGGGACTTTGGTTGGCTTGTTTTTATTTTCTTTGGAAGACGCCTGTGCGTGGGTTTTTTTAATGTGTGGAGGTCAGTGCACAACTGATCAACACACAGACTTCACAGAGTGAGGTTCCACTGGTGATGTAGTTTAACACAATGACCGTGGCTTCTCAGTCTGTTGCAGCCTTCTTCCGCCTTCGCAGCCGTTGTAACATGTGCCATGTTATCCTCCGCCTGCTCCGCCGTTGAGGTCTTTGGGTCTTCGGACTGTGCTTGGTCTGGAACCTCCCCCGCGGCCACTCCTGGGAGTGCACGACTCCAGTTGTTGTGCCTACAGGTTCATTGGAACGCGCAAGCCCCCTCACCATGACAAGGTGACAGTCCATCGAGGGGGACTGTCCAAGGTTGACCAAATGACCAAGGTTGGCTAGAAGAAGAGGTCAAATATAAGACTATAGGGTATATACAAAACATTGCTATAAAACTGTCAGCATCCAAGATCTGAGAGGCTTATCAAAAATTGAATGATTGAGACATTAATCTGAATGAGAACAATTTTTCAGGGGAGTATGTGTGTGTCAACCTACAAAACTATTTTAATACTTGCTGACATTTGGACTTCCCTGGGAAATGATTGGCATCACTCTTACTGACAGTGGCACCATGAGGGAGTGTTTAGACCACACAGAGAAAGTATGCAGCAATGATGTTATATTTACATTTTATAGGTGAGTACAACATGACAAATCATCCTAAGGATAAAAAATGTCATTCCCCACAGAAAAATCAATAGCCTTTTTTGTAGTTTGAGTAAGTATCAGCACACCCACAGAACAAATTATATCTGGAACATCAGCATTTCTCACCATTCCTTTTATCAGAAAAACATCTACACCAGACCTTTGCTACTGAATGTCAGACATGTCCATATACTAATCCTGCAAAAAGAACTACCCACCCATTAATAACTGGGCACAACCAAAAATCAGGCAAAGGAGTGAAAGAATGCTGAGATGAAAAAAGCTTAAGTTGAAGATCATAAATCATGAAACTCTTCTGCTTAAGAGATTTGGTTGGCCCTTTCTAAATTTTGCTTTAAGACATTACTAAGAAGTCATCTTTTCTGGCTCTCTAGTTTCATTTTATTTCTGCAGAGTGTCCAGGATATTTTAAGGTCTTTTATAAATGATAAATTATAATAATGATTAAGATGACTGTACAAATGTAACAGATCTATCACTGTATCTTTGTCAATTATAGGTAAGGTATCTTACAATGTTGCAATAGATTATTTGTTTATTTGCATTCCAAACATACAACATGAAGCTATTTCCTCCCATTATGTTCTACGAACACAGAATTAAAGCAAATAGATGTTTATATTATATATGGACAAATTAGCAGGCTCTTCTCAAAGTTGTGTCAACAGTTTTATAACAATTATTTTTTAGTTTCTAATTATCTCGGTTCATTGTGTTTGCAGAAGATTGGAGAAGAGTGCAGTTGTTGGGCTTCTAATTCATTTTTACCACAGTTACAATGCAAATCCACATATATTCTAAGCTGCCTAGTGGCCTATATAAATTAGTTTAACATAGGGTTGCCAGACTGAAACTTGGAGATAGTGCTTGCACTTTAAATGGTTATGAAGAAAGTAGCATTTCTGTAGCTCTTTCATGTCATGTTGTTGTTCATTCGTTCAGTCGTCTCTGACTCTTCATGACCTCATGGACCAGCCCACGCCAGAGCTCCCTGTCGGCCGTCACCACCCCCAGCTCCTTCAAGGTCAGTCCAGTCACTTCAAGGATGCCATCCATCCATCTTGCCCTTGGTCGGCCCCTCTTCCTTTTTCCTTCCACTTTCCCCAGCATCATTGTCTTCTCTAGGCTTTGCTGTCTCCTCATGATATGGCCAAAGGACTTCCACTTTGTCTCTAGTCTCCTTCCCTCCAATGAGCAGTCGGGCTTTATTTCCTGGAGGATGGACTGGTTGGATCTTCTCGGCTCCAAGGCACTCTCAGAACTTTCCTCCAACACCAAAAGCAATCTATCTTCCTTCACTCAGCCTTCCCTATGGTCCAGCTCTCACATCCGTAGGTGACTACGGGGAATACCATGGCTTTGACTAAGTGGATCTTTGTTGCCAGTGTGATGTCTCTACTCTTTACTATTTTATCGAGACTGGACATTGCTCTCCTCCCAAGAAGTAAGCGTCTTCTGATTTCCTGGCCACAGTCTGCATCTGCAGTAATCTTTGCGCATAGAAATACAAAGTCTGTCAAGGCCTCCACGTTTTCTCCCTGTATTTTCCAGTTGTCAATCATTCTTATTGCCATAATCTTGGTTTTTTTGATGTTGATTAGAAGGCTCCTCAGCTCCTCCTCGCTCTTGGCCATCAGGGTGGTGTCATCTGCATATCTGAGGTTGTTAATGTTTCTTCCAGCAATTTTCACCCCAGCCTTGCATTCATCAAGCCCCGCACATCGCATGATGTGTTCTGCATACAAGTTAAAAAGGTTGGGTGAGAGTATGCAGCCTTGCCGTACGCCTTTCCCAATCTTGAACCAGTCTGTTGTTCCGTGGTCAGTTCTTACTGTTGCGACTTGGTCCTTGTACAGATTCCTCAGGAGAGAGACAAGGTGGCTTGGTATGCCCATCCCACCAAGAACTTGCCACAATTTATTATGATCCACACAGTCAAAGGCTTTAGAATAGTCAATGAAGCAGAAATAGATGTTTTTCTGAAACTCCCTGCCTTTCTCCATTATCCAGCGGATACTGGCAATCTGGTCTCTCATTCATACAGACAAATAAAAAACAACACTTGCTAAATCCCCACGAATATGCAGGTGCAGTTTTTATTTTGGCAACTTGAGTTTAGCAGATGTCTTTCTCTCTGTCTGAGTTCCCTGTAACCTCTGATAAGCCCCCTGAAACAAGCTATGCAAGGTAGAAATGGAATAGCTTACAATCTTTGCACTGAGTACTAAGCTGAGCTAGCCTTCCCATGGAGAACACTTTTATCCAAGAGGAAGAACCTTCCTTTCTTCTAGTCCCCTTGATTATAGGCCCATCCCTGCCTTTCCACCCTCAAACTATCAACATCGTCATAAGTCCTACAAAACTGTAGTATATAATCTCTAGTTGTTGGGGTACTTCTTCTGTCTCTCAGTCCCAGAGAGAAGAGTACCAGCATCTTATATGGAGATCTACTGGGTCCAGGAGAATAACACGTGACAGGCCACCAAATACAAATTTGCACCACCTCCTTCTAAATTATGGGATGCAAAGTACTTCCATATACTCCTGCACAAGTCAACCTTCTGCATATTTCAATGGCAGGTTTGGAGAACAAAATTATGCATTTTGATGGGACCCATGAGCAATTCAGGGGTCAATCTGGAAATAAAAAGTTCTATCTATTCCTAACTTCCAACCATTTTCTTAGTCATTCAAAAAAGGCCAGATGTGGTGCTGCAAATGAGAAATTAAAGGGCATGTCTTTGCTTCTTTTAGGTTCTTCAAGGACAGACATAGCTCTCATTTTTCATGGGAAAGAGGTTGATCCTTTTCTGACAAGAGGTAGGTTACAGTACTTGAACATGGGTAATTTAATCCATGTTTTTGGGGTTGATTTTTTTTAGTAACATTTCTAAATGAGCATATACAGTAAATTTATTTGCTTATATTTCTGCTTTCTTTTTTTCTTTTTGCTTTTTTTTACTGTCAGCTTGAAACCAACAAAGCTATATTTTCTATTACCAGTGGCTTCACTTTACTTCCTCAATGAATTTAGTTTGGCTAAGACCTGAATGGATCAAAAGCTCTAAAATAATAGAGGAAGTTTTCTCATCAGTTATGTTAAATGAATACTGCACAAAAACAAACCAAGGACAAAAGTCGCTTTAATTATTCATCAAGTATTCCCTCAGTCTGCAAACCAGAGAAACGATATAAGCCTAACAACAATGAACTCAAGCTAGCATCACTCTCTATCAGATCCAAAGGTTAAACTTCAACCCCAAGCTGTTGTCACGAAGATGTAGTATTGTCATGATAAACTGTAACATACCACTTGAAGACTTGATAAAGCAGTGCCAAGAGGAAAACGGGTAGCCATCCACAGATTCTTGCAATCATGATTCTTCTCGATCCTTTACAAGGAAATGGAATATAAAAACAGTAAGAACAAGGCATCTGTTAAATATATAGGAAAAATACAGTTGTATTCTGGACCAATGTTTTATTTTCATTGTATGCATGGTGAAAAACCCAGCCAGTTTTTAAGCATGAACTTTAAACTTGTATCTTTGTTTAATCTCAGTTTTATTTTAATACGTATTTTATAGAAATAGGTTTTAATATGAGTTTTTATAAAATTCATTTTAAGATGTGTATTTGTAGTATTTTTACAATGTGTGTGTGTTTTAATTATTCTGTAATCCACCTTGAGGAGAAGTGGGTAAGAATTATTATTATTATTATTATTATTAATGAGAGGAGAAATTGCAAGTAGGATTAAATCACCTCACGTTTGTAACAATAAGTAAAACGTGATTACATTGCAGCATATATTTTACATTTTACTTTGTGAGATACAGTTTTTAAAAAGATTTTTTGCTTATTTTTCCCACTATAATTAGAATTATCTTAATTACTCATTATTGTTATTGATGTTGTTATTATTGATGACCTAGATTGAGTGCTGGTAAGTAAGTAGGGAAGAAATGGCACAGACTATATAAAAGGATAGAACAGACAAAGGACATCATCACATTAACATTGATAAACACAATATCAATATGCATGCCCTTGTTTTAAAGAGCTGGATGCATATTTTATGCACACGGGATGCATACAACCCCCATCATGTCCGGGTTCCACCTTTTGAAAACATAGCACTTAAACTCATGATACCATGAAAGGCTGGCTCCTCCTAATATGTTTGAATGCCTCCCTACATTGCTTTTTGATCCCCCTCCTCCCAATATTGTGCATTGACATGGCCTGGAAGTCTCAAACTACTGTTCTCATTAGATTTTACAAGATTTTGCATATGCACAGTAATAGTTTTCCCTTATCACTAATGCAATACAACAGAGGGAAAAATTGTACAAATTTCAGTAAAAAAAAATAAGAAGAAAAAATAAAAGGAAGAGCATCAATTGCTGATTTTCAGATTCTGAAGGTTTTTCCCTGGCAACCACTGAAAGAGTATGGCATCTGCTTTCATTATGGAGACTCCCAAGGTAAGCAGAATCCACCCCCAGACATGCCTCCAAAGGAGACATCACAGCATAGTTGATGGAATGCAGACTGTTTTACAATCACACAGAAAAGCAGTGTCTTAGAACAGTTTTAAATCAAAAAACACAACTAGGATCCCATGTACCCTTACTTCGTTTCTCAGACCTTTTGCAAACAGATTCCAATGGGTTGCTGATGAAAGAGAACAAATGTCATGAGATAGGACCCATTGGTAATCACATGCAAAGAGGCTCAGGGATGGAGTATAACCCAATGTGATAGGGTCCAAGAGCTGTTTCAAGTAGATCTGTATAAGTTTGGTCTGGCATAAGGCAGTAGATCTTGGAATTAAAAAAACTCACCTATTATCCAACACACAATCGCAACCCTAACCCCAACCCCAACTGTTCTGGGGGAAATCCTGATGTGACTATCTGGAATCCACATGAACCCAAACCATTCTGTGGTATCTGGATTACCTGGCAGGTACCAATAGCTCCTGAGCAGAGCTTTACTTCAAGCTGCCTTATAGGGAACCTTCCTAGAGATTGTAGAAATGAATCCTGCCCCAGAACACATTACTACATGCACCAAGATGTGAAAAAGGCAAGAAATTATTGATTTATGATATTAAAAATGTGGGCAAGTCAGACAAAGGGAGGATATATGGAAAGGCATTCAACAATCAAAACTGAACTGGAGAAGACCTTTATATTTTCCTCACGCAGACCTGCCTGCATAAATGGCACATGAGTTCCTGGGAAAGAAAAGGCACTGAGGGAAATTGTGAATTTCCAGCACCCACTCTTTTAAACACTAGTAAATGAGTCTCCATGATAATTTACTGGACTGTTGCTTTTTATTAATATTCTTTAGCACTTGAAAATACTGTTCCTTTATCAAAATTGGAAAGATGCACTCTGCACATTGACTGGAGATCTAGTAAAGGCAGGGAGGAAAGAAAGGGGGGAAGAAATGGGGTGATATACAGAGGAAAACATGTGTTAAAGTTATATTTTGTGCTGTCTTTTTCAAAGCCAAAGACTGAAATAACTTCTCTGGAGAAATATATTAATATACATCACAATAACCAGGCTTCCAACCCCACCCAGATCTTAATGCTATCAGTATGATACTCTACCCAAAGATTCATGTTAACAATTCAGAAGAGTACTATTTAAACAGTTTGCAAATTCTAGGGGAAGGTGAGATACTAATGCAGTAAAGTAAATACACGACCATACAATCATTTGCTGTGTTTCAATATTTATGACAAAAAGCATGCTGGAAATAAAGTATTATAGACCAAGATAATTGTGCTAACTTCCTTTTTATTCAGCATGAGGTTGCTGAGGTCTCTCACAAGTAAATGTTTACTTGATGTTTTATTTATTTATTGGAGCAAATGCTTTGAATTTAATTTTCTGGCAGGCAGAATTTCAAATCCTGCAAGTCTCATCCATACTACATGAAAGGAAGCCAGAGGGTTGGGTGGCAGCCTCCCTGGGCACTGAGACTTGCAGTATAATAGGCAGGAGACTGCAGTGCCAAGCAGTTCCCTTGTCAGCTATAAAGCTTTGAAGTAAATGAAAGGACTTATTCCTCTTTGGGTATGACAATATATACTCCACTTATCTGCAGTAAGATCTGGCATTATGTAGTAATTCCATTGTCATCACATGAATCAGAGAAAATAGCTTTGCTGCACAGCAAACAAAATAAAATAATTAGAATAGTAATAACTCAACATTTAAGTCTCTATATTGGGAAGAAGAAGGGATAAAACTAAAGTAAATAAAGAAAAAAGTGTAAAGTGATAATGCTTTAATGTGTGGACCAGCCACTTATTTAATTCAGCAGCTTTTTAATAACTTTACTTCAGTTACTTCATATTAAAAAGTTCCATGCCACTAGACAGAGGATATATTAGAAAGGTCCATTGAAATTCTATAGGATGAAAAGAAATAAAGTCCCCACAATGTATTCAGTCTCAAGAGACGTATAGTAAGACAGCTTTGGCTTTGAAGAATGGGCAGATTAAAGCCACAGAAATCTCAATTCACTTTGTAAAGATAGACTGCTGGGCTACTATGTAACTGAGAGCTAACAGACAAGAAATGTTTCAACATATGCAATTTCAGCTGCAAAATGGAAGCCCACAGGGAGCTGAATACAGACTTAACTGTACTTATTATAGATCCATGATTATAGATCAGAACCAACCGGACTGTCTACTTCTGCAACTGCCTCTGTTAGCAGAAGGAAGAGCTAGCATATACGAGGGGTTGTGTGCCCTTTGGAGTAGGTTTCTGGATAGCATGGGAGGCTGAATGGGGAAAAAATTGGGAAAGAAAACCTTCCAGTGCTCATAGAGACCAATTTCTGTAAGGCTGGATTTAAATTAACAGGTATACTGTGAACTCAGTTTTCAAATCAGAGAGCTATTTTACTTTCAGATCCCTCAAGGGGTTTACTGACACATTCAAAACAAGGTCAAACTGACATGCTTAACATTTCAGGTACCTCAAGTGGATAAAACATTTCCTAAGCACAGTTACTTTCTTTCTAAAAGAAGAACTTGATGACCTGGTGGTTCATTTGATACTTTAATTCTTCCAAGTAGTTAGCAATTTATCTTTCACATCTCTTTCAATGTTCCGTTTTGCATTGCTATATAGGTATAACTTCATACCTCTATTTTTTAGTTTTTATACTTATTTTATTTCTTTAATATATTACTTAATAATTTCAGCTTATAGCTACCATTTCCCCTGACATAAGACCCAACAAAGCTTTCAACATAGATTAAAACAAACTATAGCTAAAAATCTGATAAAGTTTTTTTTTCTATAAGAACTTGCATATAACGTATATACTCAAGTATAAGCCAACTTGAATATAAGCCAAGGCACCTAATTTTACCACAAAAGCTGGCAAAACATATTGACTTGAGTATAAGCCGAGAGTGGTAAATGTACCAACTACTGGTAAATTCAAAATAAAATCACATTAATTGAGGCATCCGTAGGTTAACTGTTTATGAATATTTACATAAAACTGTAAAGATAAGACTGTCCAACTCTGGTTAAACCCTTATTCTAACCTTCTTCAATGTAAATGTGCTTACATATCTTTCCAATAATAATAGAGTGAAACAATAAATGTAATAATAATAATAATAATAATAATAATAATAATAATAATAATGTAAAATAATGGAAATGTAATAACAATAGAGTAAAATAATAAATGTAATAGTAATAAATAGAGTAAAGTAATAAATGTAATAATAAAAACAAGGGAGTAAAATAATAAATAACCTTGACTCGAGTATAAGCCAAGGGTTTGTTTTTTTCAACCTAAAAAGGGGGTCTGAAAAACTAGGCTTATACTCAAGTATATATGGTAAGTCCATGATGAGGTATCTATGAGAAGGGGCCAAAATCTAAACTGAAATTCATTTATGTTTCACGCACATTTTATACACATAGCCTGAAGGTAATTTTATACACAGTATTTTTAATGTTATGCATGAAACAATGTTTGTGAACACTGAACAATCAGGAAAAAGCTACTACTGTCTCAGCCACCCACGTAGATTATTTTGGATTTTGTAATTCCAGATAAGGAAAGTTCAAAGTGTACTTTAAAATGCTGATCTAAAATGGTTTGCCACATACCCTTCTAAAAGGCCTTTCTGACACAACCAGCAAAGGGCCTCTTTAAATAAAAATGTCTTTGTATTCCTTGCAGAAAGAGGTAAGAAAGGACTACTGAACCTTCCATGTCAGAGAATTACACAGCCTGGGAAAAGTCATCAAAAAGGCTCTTTTGCATTCCCACACTAAACCTGGCATTTTCCCAGAGTTCTAGTTTCCATAGTAATTCATAGAACTGTGGCACTATG